CATTACTTCCCTAGATCTAGACACTATGCTCCTATTGATGCAGGCCAAAATCCCATTGGCTTTTTTGCCGCAAAATCACATTGTTGGCTCATGTTTAACTTGTTGTCCACGAGGACTCCAATATCTTTTTCACACGTACTGCTCTCGAACCGGGCGTCCCCCATTCTGTATCTTTGCATTTTATTTTTTCTGCCTAAGTGGAGTATCTTGCATTTGTCCCTGTTGAACTTCATTTTGTTAGTTTCAGCCCATCTCTCTAATCTGTCAAGATCGTTTTGAATCCTGCTCCTGTCCTCTGGAGTATTGGCTATCCCTCCCAATTTGGTGTCGTCTGCAAACTTGATGATCATGCCTTCTAACCCTTCATCTAAGTCATTAATAAAGATGTTGAACAGGACCGGGCCCAGGACGGAACCCTGTGGCACTAGGATTGACTAGGAAAGGCTAGAAAGGCCAAGCCGCCAGAACACATGTTTTGGGCAACCTTAAATAACACTGTGTTCCTGGGTTACTTGGATTGCTTCCTGAACCTTTGTTGCAAACATATCAAGTACATCAGGTAAAAAAGAAGCAGACAACTAAATAAATGATTGTAAATGTTACTTTATTTCATTAGACTTACAGTGAAAGATTAAGAGATTTAAATGAATAGGTATTAAGTTAAGATGGGTACAAGAGAGTAATGAACTTGCTAAATACCTGATACCGACTGGAGATACTGAAGATTGGATTTGGATCTCTTTAAACATTACTCTATGCTAGTCCTTCCGAAAATGTTGTTAGTTCAAAAAACGGTGCTAAGCCTGAAATATGAACGTAGGAAAAGTGCAATGATTAATGTGTTGATTTTGCATAATTGGAATGCAAATTACTAATATACATAATTAGAAAAACATGAAGGGCTGGAATATGGCAATTCTGTATACAACTATTAATGAAGCTCAGCTACATCACATGATAATTTTTCTTTCTAAGTATTTACTTTCCCTAAATTCTTCAGCTATGTTTTTCATAGAGATTTTGTATTCTGGTATTTTAGTGATCCATCTATGATGCAGAAGTAATAAACACTAGTTTTACAAGTGCCAAAAATTTGCAATGGGTTATAATTTCAATGAACAGCAGGCTGCAGCACATAGATAAGTCAACTCATAGTTGGCAGAGGACACACATACACAAGCACAGTCAAAGCCTTGTGCTTTCAAGATATTATCTTAATGATAGAGGAAGGATTAGAATTACTTTTTGATATGTGTGCATACTCTCATGTGTGTGTGTTTATGTGATAAGCCAAAGGTGCTAACATGGAATCATTAGAAGTCACTGACCATTTGGAGACAAATTAGGCAATGACAAGCTATGCTCAATCCAGTGGACCTTGGTTCGGTTTCATGGGTACCAAAATGTGTGGATGCTCAATTCCTATTATAGACAATGATGTCCTTTACATAAAATAGCAAAAGCAAGATTTGCTTTTGGGTTTTTTAATATTTCAACATGTGGATACAGATTTCATGGAAATAGATGGCCAACTGTATATTCACTTTATTTCCTTGGCTGCTCTAATAATGTTCACAGATTTTTTTATTTATTTTGCAGCAATACAGACTAGCTAGAATCTCAGTAATCAAGTAAACTTAGCTTAGTGAGCCTGTTTGAGTGTGTTTTTTCATAACAAAGTTGTTAACGTTTAGGGCCTTAAATATAAGGTCAGTGTAGTTAGTAGGTACTATCTTATGGATAGCTAGCATTAGTCGAATGCATCAACATCTTTCTGTAGTTAGAGTGAGGATGCAATTGATTTATCTGTCCCAGTATCACACAGGTGGCAGTAATCTGTGCTTTGGAATATTACAATGTAAGTATCTGTTATATCATTACATTGTGTGAAATTTCACATTGTGGATGCAATTAGTTGGATATCTGTGTGTATATCAGAAAGCTGATCAAAATAATAGCCTTTTATTCTGTCTTAGTAATGAAATTTTCCTGCTCCCTCAAAGTGACTTTCTGCAGTTCTACTCAAACACTTTTGTAGTACAGGCAGTCCCCCGAGTTACAAACATCCGACTTGCACATTACTCATAGTTAAGAATGGGTCTTTTTTTCGTGTCAGGAGCAACTTGAGAAATTGCAAGTCGCTTCTGGTGTGAGAGAATTGGCCGTCTACAGGGACATTGCCCAGGGGATGCCTTGATTTTTTTTGATGTTTTTACCATCCTTGGGGGAGGCTTCTCTCTTGTCCCTGCATGGGGAGCTGGAGCTGACAGAGGAAGCTCATCCATGCTCTCCCCAGGTTGGATTTGAACTGGCAACCTTCAGTTCAGCAACCCAACCTTTAAGTCATCAGTCCAGCCTGCACAAGGGTTTAACCTATGCGACATCAGGGTCTCCTTAGAATGTGGGTGAGGCAAAGGAAGTGAGAGAAATCTACCCCTAAGAAGGGAAAATCATTCCTGAAAAAGTTATCATGGGGAAAGGGTCTCCACTGAAGCTTTCTCACCAATCCTTGTTTCCACAACAAGCTATTTTTTTCAAACTACAATTATCACATGGACGGAAAGTGAGGTTAAATCTTCTGAACAGGGGCATAGATGGCAAAACAAACACTGCAGAGGTGTTAACTAGGCTTGGGCAGTTTCGTTCGTTAATTTCGTAATTCGTTATTAATTCGTATTTAAATTAGCTTACGAT